ACTGGGATTGAAATGGCAGCTTTGGCTGCTGGCTCTGCCTGTCTCAGCTTTCCAACATGGAGGAACTACAGAACTACCTTTACCGCCAGCTTTGGGGGAACCATGTTCACTGCCGGACTTTGGGAGGCAGTGGGTCTATACCTCCATCCGGCAGCACGTAGCCCAAAAACCTCTTTTTTTTTTTTTTGTACTAGTAAAAGCTAAATCCATCAAACAGTGTGTTGCTTGGCTCTCAGATGCCACTGTCCACAGTGGCAGGAATTCCCCATGTTGCACTCAAGCCCATATGCCGCTGTGAACCCGTCATACTGTAGCTCATGGCTGGCCTGAGAGACACATCTAGGAAGCTGTTTTTAGCTCCATTTAAAATCTTTTTTTTTAAAGCTTTCTCAGGTTTTAGGTGGAAACTCTTGCCCCATGTTGGGTACCATTTGTAGCTGAAAGTTTTTCTGTGTCCCACCCAGTCCACAGCCATTCAGACCCAAGTAAACACACAGAGGCTTATATTAATTAAAACTGTGCAGCCATTAGCTCAGGTAACTTACTACTGACTAGCTTTTACATTTAAACTCAGCCCATTTTTGTTAATTTGTGTGTTGCCATGTGTTCCTTGGCTTTACCTGTGTATCATTACATGCTGCTCCCCAGACGGCAGGTTAGTGTCTCCTGACTCAGCCTTCCTCTTCCCAGAATTCTCCTCTCTCTTTGTCTCACCTATACTTCCTGCCTGGCTACTGGCCAATCAGCACTTTATTTATCAACCAATCAGAGCAACACATACTCACAGCATACAGAGCATCCCACAGCAAGCAATGACTTTCATTCATTCTATAGGCTGTGTGTTCACTGAATGAATTGATTTTCCTTTGGTTTGTAGAAACTTTTTAACTTCCATTTTTAGTTCTTAGTGTTATTTCCTGAGCTGTTGGAGTCCTTTTCAGAAAGCCTTACCTACCTCACAAAGTGTTTTCCTTTCTGTTTCTCTCTAGTAGAGTGTCTGGTCTTGAAGGTATTTGACAGATTTTGAATTGACTTTTGTACAAGATGAGAGAATGTGATCTGGCTTCATTCATCCATGTATGCCATCTTTCACCAAATTCTCTCCTTAGAGTCCATGACAGTAGGTTACCAGTTTTCAGATTTATGCAGCCCTATTCCTCATGGTGCTGTCTTGGGACTTCTGTTTGGGGGATTAATTGTAATGTTTTAATTACTGATATTGTTTCACTGGTAGTGCTGGCAATGTTCAAGGAGGACAAGGTTTTTGAAAGGTTGAGGCATCCTTTTACTCCACTGGACTTCAGGCATAGCTCAGCAGTTAAAACCTCCCAGATAGCTTCAAGGCACCAGGCGTGAGTGTCAATTCTGCTTCAAGAGCAGAACACTATGGGAATAGCCACGCCTGGTGGATAGGTCCATAATGAGAACATAGTAACAGCTAGTTAGAAACAGGTAACTCTCTCTCAACTCAAATTACAAGGGCAAATAAAGGAACAGGACTGGAAAGAGAAGGGCTGGACAGGAGACAGACAAGAAAGACTAGTAATTCATATTTGAGGAACAGAAAAATTAGAAGAAGAGAGAGAAGTCAAAAGCAGTGGGGGAACAGCAAAGATGAGAATGGAGGTGAGTCAGAACCAGCCAGAAGGAGAATAAAAAAGAAAGCAGTATGCAAATACAAACAGAAAACCTAAAATAATCCTAGCACTCAGGATGCTGAGGCAGGAGACCCCACCATGTCCACAACTCCAGAGAGAGAGAGAGAGAGAGAATTAGGGGGTGTGGTCTGTACATAGTCCTGTAAGGTCCAAGCCCCTGTGCCAGTCATGGGAGGCCAGGATAGGAATGGAAGGAGCCCCAGGCACATCTGACGTGCTTTATTCGCTGGCTCTCGGGCTGTTCAGAGGTATAGACACAGGCCTACAGAGACACGCAGGTAGACTGTCAAATGGTAGGGAGAAGATGAAAGCTCCAGCCTGTTTCCTTAAGGACATGTTTGTACAGAATCACGTAAAAGTATCACTTTTGCAAGGAATGGTTGTGTAACAGTATATATTACTGTCTACAGATCCCTGGTGTCATCGACTTTGTGCTCACTTATTAACATCCTGCACTGTTTATCTTGGCCCATACTATATCAATATCTGTGCTATGTTGTCTAAAGATAAACTGGCCCCTTTGACCCTGTGTACCCTACAGGTCTCTCACATGGGCACAGTTTCCAGGCCTGGCTCTGTAGTCCACCACAAGCCATGGCTCAAACCAGATATCCATATCACAGAACATTGCTGCATTCTGATTCAATTTTTTCCCTCTCTAACTAGAAATATTCTGTGGGTCAAATGATAAAATAAAGTGCCATGGCACTTCCTCTGAACTCCCAGGATAAGCCATGCAGGGAGGGATCTTTGCCTCCGGAATGGCCTAACCTCCAACTCACTAAGATTCTTGCTAAAATGGCTTTTTGTCAGTCCTCTGTTAGAGTTTCTTAGCACTGCCCCATCCCCTCCCATAACAAGTTCCCACTCTCTCTCTCTGTCTCTCTCTTCCTCCCTCCTTCCCATCTCTGTCTCTATCTTTGTCCGTGTCCGTGTCCGTGTGTGTGTGTGTGTGTGTGTGTGTGTGTGTGTGTGTGTGTGTGTGTGTCCTTCTCCACCTCTCCTTAAAATGTACTGCTGTTAAAAGCACAGTACAATTATTGAGACTTTCTCTGTTTTGAGCTGTGGGTCCAGCCCCCAGCAGTCACACTCACCCTGGAAGGAGGGAATCCTTCACTGAAGCTGAACCCTCTGAAACAGACTCTGGAGTCTCCTTCTGTTCGGCTTTCTGAAATGTGTTTGTTCTTTGCTATGGAAACTGGTGTTTACCTACCATGACCTACATCACAGATAGAGGCTCTGCCACTGCCCCTGGGTTATTCCGTGGAGAGTTCATCAGCACGTTCCTGTGTTGTTCACCACATCCCACCCACGTTCTTTTTTTACTTTACATCATTACTACAAACACTGGCTAGGATGTGAGCAGAGGGACCTTTACTCACTGTTAGTGGGAGTACAAGCTTACAAGATGAACCAGCTCTGCTCCTCTTGTGCACGTACCCAAGAGAGTCTACACACTATCACAGAGATATAGATTCATTCTATAGACAACACATTCATGTGTTACCTGAAATTTTGGGGAGCCTACCAAAGTCATTCATGTTACTGGGAACATCAGAGTCCCCTCTCAGGTGTGTTTTTCTTAATAATAAGTTTAAGAACAGACAGAAATGTAAGCCGAAGGACAATTTTATTAAATGAATTTAAAAGGAAAACCTCCATGACAGGCAAGCTGGAAACCTCAGCAGCAGCTTGGACGAGGGAGACGGAGAAGGAGAAGGGGAAGGAATGCCATTTAGGTTGAGATAGCACAGAGGTCAGCCACTTGGTGGACAAGCAGCCCCCTGGTAGAGTGGGAGATTGAGAGATGGGTGAAAAGGCCAACCGTACCAGAGAAAGCGTACTTACCTCTGGCTAATGTCTGAAAGTAAAAGACAAAAAAAGAAGAAAAAAGAAAAGTTGGGCAGACCCAACAGAAACTCAGGGTAGCTTATAGGGACTGACTACAGAGCTGGAATTCTAGGAAGGAAAAGTACATTACCTCAGTAAAAGGCCAACTGTTCCTCTTATCCCTTAAGCATGGTATAAGGTAAGTGTGTCTTTGTAAGGGGTCCCATAGCCAGGTCATGGCACTGACCAACTGTAATTTTAGATCTCAACCCAGGTCAGAGATTTCCTTCTCTTGACCAGAAGGAACTTGTTTCCCCTGATGGGCCTTTTCTGATACTATTATTAATTCTCTATTTACAATAACAAAGAAATGTACACAGCCTCAATATATACCTACTGATGAATGGATAATGAAATTGTGGTACATCTGTACAGTGGAATTCTAATCAGCTGTAAAGAAAATGGAAAGATAGAATTTGAAGGAAAATGGATGAAGCTGAAAAGCATTATATTAAGTGAGGTAACAGACTCACTGAGATGAATTATCACATGGTCTCTATCACACACAGATCCTAGCTTCCAGCTTTTCTATATGTGCAGTTATATGGGAATATGAATATAAGTCATGCAAGCAGTGAAGGGACAGTAAAAGGGGAAAAGCTGTTAAGAAAGGAAGACATCTGGGGCAATAAAACATTTATGACATGCAAGAAAAAGGGGCGGGGAGATCTGGAGGAGTGTGGGAGTATCACCCCCCAAAATATGTACATAAATGCCAAAATGGTGCTTTGTATCATAAAATAAAAAAATATTTATGCTATATTTTTATTTTAAATTCTTCTGCTGAAAAGTATAATATCATGATAAACATTTTCATACAATATTTGTGACTATACAAGAATGATGTTTCTAAGGACCATGGATTTCAGTCAGACAAAAAATTTTATTAGAAATGGTCTCTCAGATGCCAAGTCTCAGAAATACTCCACAGAGACAGCAGGTTGTCCATACTCTAGGAAAAGAAGAATAGAAGCATAGTCCTTAAAGGAATTTCTTATTTTAATAACAAAAGTATACAGAGTAAAAATATAATATACAAAGAAACTCCTGAGTTACAAACATGGTCTCTGTGCCCAAATTGTCTGTTGTCAAGTCTTTCTAAGTTGAGCAGCTGGACAACCTTGAATGACTTGGTTGTATCCTCTGTGCCCTCTTTTCTCATCTATGTGTTTAGAACTAAGATTCCCTTTCCCATATGGAATCATAGAACAATCTTTATAGCTTCCTGCGATGTTTGTTTCCTCAGATTTTATCTAGTGATAGTAAGATGTAGTGACATAAGATTATTGTAAATTTAAATAGCCTAGCATATGTAATTTGTTTATTGTAGTAAATATTATTACGTGAGAGACATTTCAGTGGTGCTTGGTACATGTAGACCACTCAACAAGCATTACTCACTATTGGAAAATACTACGATTGTGAAGAAAATTTTATGATTTTTATTTCTAGGTGAATTATCATGGACCATAAAAAGGAATATTTACTTAACTTCAAAGGCTATAATTTTGAAAGATCTTTAGTTAAAATGAACATAGTGGAAAATATGGATGATTACGAAATTAGAGATGATGATGTCTTCCTAGTCACGTTTCCAAAATCTGGTGAGTGGCATGAGTAGGCCATACGGCATTTGTATTTATTTTGGTTTGATAATAAGTGCATAAATATTCTCCTTTCCACACACCGTCAACTGTTATCTTAGACAATGCTTAAATTTCCAATACATTGAATTTTGTTGACAAGATTTCTAAGACACCTGTAATCTACTTAAAATTTTCAAAAACAGAAAAAAAAAATCTCTTAAGCAGTGAGGTTTCCCAGAAGGATTACTCTTGGGGTTCGTAAGGCTAATCAGGACAAGTACGCACAAGTACTCCCGTTTTACTACACAGTCCTGTTGGACATGAAGAGGGACTAAAGTTCCCTTTGTAAAGGGAACTTCTACCTCAGCAGAAGGTAAAACTTGGAAGTCTTGGTTTAAGTTTTTGCGGTGGTTACCAGACTAAACAGCAAAGCTGTAAGTGTTTAGATTTCACATGCCCCGTCCCCGCTTAGTGTTGCTGCCCATGAACAATAACACCAAGATTTTATATCCATATTTGACCCCTTCAGTAAATAAAGACATTTTGCAAAAAGACTTCTTTGTTCATATCCAATCCTACTTTGTTTTCTGTCTTTGCAATGTTTAATGTGGTACAGAACTTGAAGGACTCTGGGAGGCAGTCACTCTGTTTCACTGTAGATAGTAACTAAATAACTCAGCCACTAAACAGCCACTGGGTACTTCTGAAGGTCCTCAGGAAGATTGAAACGGGTGATGAGTGTTTATATTGTACCACACAGGATGCTGACACTTCCGTTGTTATCAGCCCCGGAGTCTGTGATGTCTTTACATGATCTGTTCTTTCAAAATTTCAGTCTCTGCTACAAATGATGCACTGTCACTCCTCACTGGAAATAGTCATTGGTTAATCAAATCTACACTGCCACCACGAATTATCTGGAATAGCCATTAATAAACAAGGCTAGACCTCAGCACTGTGGTATTTGATCCCATGGGGTCTACTCTTAAAGGGAATAAAATTAGAATTTTGCATGTATTTCTCAAACACTTCCACTGTATGACTTGATCTGATAGTCAAGAGACCAGATGTCAATAACATCGAAATCTGTGGTTTCCTCTTTCAACATGTGTATTATGATCTATGCCAGAGAAGTATCTGAGCATACAAAGCAATTCCAAAGGGGGTGGAAACTGGAAATATTTAATTCTATTAGCTTTTCTACACTTTTAAATGGCAAGGAAATAATGAAGTAATTTCCGAAATAAGTCAGAATTTCCCATAAGCAACAATAAAGTGGCATTCAGTAACTACTATATATTTTATAAAAATTAAGAAATGCCGGGCGGTGGTGGCGCACGACTTTAATCCCAGCACTCGGGAGGCAGAGCCAGGCGGATCTCTGTGAGTTCGAGGCCAGCCTGGGCTACCAAGTGAGTTCCAGGAAAAGGCGCAAAGCTACACAGAGAAACCCTGTCTCGAAAAAACCAAAAAAAAAAAAAAAAAAAAAAAAAAAAATTAAGAAATAATGTAGAAGGCTCCAAATAGAAAACAACAACAACAACAACAACAACAACCATGCAGCAAGTCATAAATGCCACTCTCCCTGGTGTGATCTGACCCCATTGTATGTATCCATATGTATTGATACTATACTTTACCTGTTAATATCTGCAAATGTTATATGCCAAGAGCAGTTAAATATTACCAAAAGGACCTCACACAAAGCACAGAACACACAGACACTGCAAGAATAGTCTGGGTTGTCACTACCAAATCGCCGCATATATTTAAGTGAGAAAGGAACAAAGGGTTGTTGATTTCAGCCTTACCAACTTGAGTGTTACATCCAGGCAACGGGGAATGAAAAGTGGGCATATCCAAGCATAGTTGGAGTGTTTAAGGAAAGGAAAGCTCTAAATTCGTCGAAGATTATGACATTACTGTTGGGATTCATTATTAAAACCTGCTTCAGATTGAAAATAGGATTGCTATCTCTTTTTACAGGTACCATCTGGACTCAACAGATCCTCAGCTCGATTTATTTTGAGGGCCACCGAAACAGTACTGAAAATATCCAAACCACGGACAGAGTGCCATTCTTTGAGTACAATCTTCATAATTTGGACTTTGCCAAAATGCCATCACCACGCATCTTTACCTCCCACCTCCCATATTATTTAGTACCAAAAGGTCTCAAGAACAAGAAAATCAAAGTAGGTCATAGAGCTTAGTCACTTATTGTACCCACGAAATGCCTTCTCTAAGTACTGAATAATTAGGTTATTCCAATGCAGCTGCTATGTGCATTCTTGAGTATGTCTCCTGGGTACTCTTCCACCATCTTCCCTAGAATCCACATCCAGGAATAGAACTGCAAAGCCACAATTATCAGAGGATTCAATCTATGGAGGTGCTGCAGGATTTCTGAAGAAAGCAGATTAGTCATTTCTTGCTGAAATGTCCAGTAGATGAGTTATTAGTTTTTCTCTAGTAACGTGACAGATCAGACTTTTAAAGGTTTATCAACATGACAGCCTACCAAAAGGTGTCTCAAATTTATCTTAACTTGCATGCTCATGCTCATAATGGAAGCAATCATGTTTTATGTTTATTGGCCACAGTTATTTTTGATTCTGTGAAAAGGCCCAACATTTTATGACCTTCTCCTGATCAGTTTGCTTCATATCACTTCTAGATATGAATCTATTTTAGCTCAATCGCATTGCTCTTCTCATGTGTGTTTTGATTAATAACATTCTTTATTTTGGTGTTATCAAACTGATTGAGTTTTCTTTTAAATAAATTCACATTTTAGCCTGGAGATATGCTCTTTGAGTTTTGGTTTTTCTATCTTATTCTTTCCCTCCCTCCCTTCCTTGATTTCATTTTTTTCCTTGTGGGAGCCTGGCATGTAGCCAAAGCTGGCATGAACTACTCCTCCTGCCCTAGACTCCGAGGTGCCAGTATTGGGGTCACACACCCCCAGATTATTATTTCTGTATGTGAGTTTTTGTACTCTTAACTCATGTTTAAATTATTTTTCGGAAAGATACGAAGGAAAAACTCATTTTTCTTTGAAGATTATATGTGGATTACTAGGTATATCAATATGACTATTAGTTTTTTGTTTTTAAACTTATCTCTATTGCTACCTTAGTTATACATCTAATATGACATAATACTCATCAACTGACCCTCATGACAAATTAATTTTCCTTTAAAATTTTTAATAAAAATTTTATACCATATATATTGATCGTATAAGGCAAATTATCAGTATTTATTAACATTATAAATAATATTGCTTTTTGAGAATTGACCTACATTCTTATACATGTAGGAAATACCGTGGAGAAAGGATGTTTATTACAGCACTCTCCATAATATCAAAAAGTAAATAATAACCACTTGACTTTTCACAGCTTAAAGACTAGAAGAAATAATTATGCTTATTGTCATAATCAAATACTATAAAATTGTTTTTAAAGCTTATAAGCATAACCAAGGTTTTTTTAAAGAAATAATCCCATAATTCTGTCAACAGATTCTTTATATCTACAGAAATCCTAAAGATATTTTGAACTCCTATTTTCATTTTTCAAATTTGATGACTAACCTTGAAGCTGCAAGTTCTATGGAAAATTTCCTGCAAATGTTTCTAGATGGGAGAGGTAAGTGTTAATTCATCAACCCAGACACAAATGAACTACACAGAAGCCAATTACACAGTTAGCCAAATTATCTAACTTACAGAACACAATTCAAAGAAATGGAGCAGAGCAATAAAATGCCCTGCTTTTCTGAAAGGAACAAGAAAAGAATACCGGAACAAAAAGCACAATATCAGACAAACAAAAACCAGAACCCAAAGAACTCATCTCTAGGGACAATTGAATGTCCACTCTATCTGTCATCAGCTGGGTTTTCTATCTTTAGACACCACTTGAGGACTGTCAAGGTTGCAAAGGCATGTCGTGTAGGAACTGTTTTGGTTTACAGATAGTCTTTTAATTCCTTCCAACTAGTGACAAAGGCAGAGTAATCCATTCTGGCAGAGCAAATGCTGAGGGTGAGTGTGTGCTTTGCATGGGCCTGTGGAAGGCCTTATCCAGCAGCAGTGGAATTATTCATTGCAATACTTAGGTGGACTAACTAAGGCAAGAGGCTCATAGCATGTGGAGCCATGATCTCTATTCAGATTCTGTGCCACTGTAGACAGTGAACATTGTTGCCCAGGCCTCATAGAGAACAAGAGTTTCAATAGATATGTGTGCCCTCTGTGGAAAAGTAGGAAAATGCAACAGTGTGCCCTAAAGTCATCTGCAGTCTCAGGCCCTTGAGTTTCTGGATTGCTTCCTTCCTACTCCACATATAGGCGGGTTTCTACGAATGTCAGGTCATTATTCCCCTAAACCATTAAATATTTTAAAAAGGGATATAGATGTCCATTGCAGGGACTCTGTTTTATTTCCGAAAATTCCAAACCAGAAAATGAAGAAGAGAGTTTGTCATTTACTACGTGCACACACAGGTTGACATTTTTTGTTTGTTTGTTTGTTTGTTTTTTTCAAGACAGGGTTTCTCTGTGTAGTTTTAGTGCCCATCATGGATCTCGCTCAGTAGACCAGGCTGGCCTCGAACTCACAGAGATCCGCCTGGCTCTGCCTCCCGAGTGCTGGGATTAAAGGCGTGCGGCACATCCTTACTCCTTACCTTTGTTCTCAGTGGTAGGAAGCTGTTGGTTTGACCACATCAAAGGCTGGTATGAACACAGACATGACTTCAATATTATGTTCCTGAGCTATGAAGATATGAAGAAGGTAAGATAAGAAAGTTGCATTTTTTAATGATTTCTTTTGCCCTGTCCTTCTCTTGGTTGAAACCGTGTTCTCCCAGTTCTTTTCATACTTGAATTCCCCTTTGGGCTTTGGGTTGGAGATGATTCCTAATGTCCTGCCTCTGCCTCACTCCCTGGACTTCGTCAGGACTCTCTTCTCCCTGTACAGTTATCTCTTGTGATCCCTTCTCATGCGACCACCCGTGTCAAGGAAACCTCAAAAATTCACAGCAGCAGCTGCTTTCATAATCAAAAACTTTATCATCCCATATCAATGGCATCCATTAGTGGCATCTGGTGTGCTATTCCTGCCCAGGGGTAGAGTGTGCACTGATCTCATCTTTCCACTCTTCTCGAATTGCCATTCCTTTCTTCTCCCAAGACCCTTCCCGATCACTATTAAACACATTTCTCCTTAAAAGTTGACGTTGAAGTTTCCTCAGATGAGAGAACGCAGACATTTGTCTCATTGTCTGGCTTATTTCACTTGACCTGGTGTCCTGAGCTCCATACATTTTACTGCAGATGACAGAATTTCGTTTCATTTTAATGTCTGAGTAATAATCTATTTTATATATATTGTGTATGACACATATAAATTATTTACTCTTTCATCTGTTGATGGACTCTAGGCTGAGTCCACATATTGTGGTTGAAAATGTACAGCAACAGCACTAGATAACAATAAGTTTTGGATGGTGATTTCATTTCTTTTGGCTATAATCTCAGAGATGCTATAGCTGACATGATGATCCACTTTACTATAGTTTTCCGTGCTCACTACCTAATAAGAGCCAGCAAAGAGCAGAGAGTCACATAACTACTATAAAATGTGGACAATTAGAGCCATAAACCAGAATTGACCAATTCTTTGTTTTATTTTTGTTACTTGGTTTCTTTGTTTTAGATCGCATCTCAGTGTGTACTCATGGTTTGTCTAGAACCCTTTATTTAGACTAGGCTGGCCTTGAACTCACAGAGATTCTCTTGCTTCTGGAATTAACAGTGTGTGTCACCTCACCCAAGACAGGCAAAGTTCTCCATGAAGGCGTTATGCTGAGTGTTTGCTCCTACCCCTGGCTCCCAGTTTGACTTTGCTGAGTTTGTGTGAGTTAAAGTTTCTACTAAAATTACTCACTGAGATTTGCTTTTCATTAATTAAAGACAGTCTGTTTTTAATTTTTTCTCATTTATAGTATTGGGTTAAGGGCAATTTAAAACTTTGTCTTTTACCTCCTTGAATATAGTATTATGTTAAAATTATTTCCAAGAACTCCATTATTGCTAGCATCCAAACCCTTATCATCTTTCTTTCTCTTTCTTTTAGCCGCATTGCTCTATTTTTCATGTTCTTCCTGGTCTTGGTTTTTCGGTCAGTCATTGTGCATCAAAGTCATTTGTATAAATTAATTAGCTTTAGAATCCTATTATTTTATCCACCACAACACACTAAATTTCTTCCACAAATGAACACGCACAACGATGGAGACTAACACACTTAAGCCTGCTCAGCAGGGCCCCAAATCATCTGGTTCCCACATGCAAACGCATCTCTGTTTCTTGTATTTCATGTATAGAGTCCTCTGAAGTGCAGCTTTCATTAAATATGGAAGGGATTTCAAGCTTCTCTCAATCGGTATTCATTCTTACATTGACAAAGGAAATCCATGTGTTCATTCTTATTTATTTATTTATTTTTGTTCTCGAATTGGAGGTAGTACTTCATCATCATGAAGAATGTTGTAACTTCTCTGGGTAAAATTAATCTCTCACAAATAACTGCTATATCCCTAGTCATGTTATGAACCCCAATTGCACTCTTAATTATGATTTTAACATCCACAAGGTAAAATGTACCATTTCACTCTTATGACTTGTTATGCAACCATTTGTCACTACTGCTCTCCAAATCCTTTTCTGCTTGTCAAACTGAAACCGTAGGATCATTAAACCATAACTTCTCCTTTTCCTCCTCTCAGTCCCTGAACATCACCACCCTGCTTTCCTCCTCCAGTAATTTCTTCATGCTCAATACTTGGTATGAGTGGAAACAGGCAGTTGTATTTTTATTGACTTATTTTACTTACTATGATGTCCTCAATGTCATCAAAGCTTGTTGCATCACATGTCAGAATTCCTTCTCTGTGTCTGCATAATAACCCACTGTATTTATGTTCTGTAATCTATATATATTTGGCTTGTTTCCACATTTGAGCTGGTGTGCATACTGATGCTGTGAATATCTTTCAGAGATTTTTGGGCTCAATTGTTTTTAAATGAGAAGTGAAAGCCAGGAGTGGAGTTGCTGGAGCATACAGTGATTCTGCTTTTATTTTGTGAAGGAAGCATCGTACATTTTTCCTCTACAGATGTACCATTTTACACTTTACATCCTTTACAGATGTACCAACAGCAGCATCACTTATGGTTTACGTCAGTTGTTAAGGAAGAGCCATCATAATAGGTTACACGTGGTAGGCTCTTCTTGTCGTTTCCATTTCCCAAGTGACTAGTGATACAGAGCATTTTTCTCCTCCGTTTAATAGATGTTTCTAGAATCCCTTTGAGGATGATTTATTTAAAGTTTTAATTGAGTTGATTTTGTTGTTGTGATTTCTGGGGATAATCCTGTATCAGATAAATGACTTATAAATGTTGTTCCCATCCTATAGATTAACTTTTCACTCCATTGAATAGGTCCCCTTTTACATAGGAGTTATGAAGTTTAATGTAATCAATTCAATTCATTTTTCTTTAGCTAGCTGTACTTGTAGAGACATATTCAAGACACCACTGTGAAATCCTTTGACGTAAATCATCCTATATTGTCTCTGTACTTGTAGAGGGATATTCAGAACACCACTGTGAAATCCTCTAATTTAAATAATTCCCTCTAAGTCTCTCTGTAAGAGCATTGAAGTTTAAGCTCTTGCTTTTATGTTTGACCCAAATTTCAGTTGTTTGACATACATTGTAAGGTGAGAATTCAGCTTTATACTTTTGCATATGGGCATCCAATTTACCCAAGAACATTTGTTGAAATGAATGACCTTTCCCATGTAAAGTTCTTGGCAGTCATATCAAAAATCATTTGACCATTATAAGTGAGAGATGATTCCTGGGAAGGCTATTCTGTTCTATTGGTTCACGGCTGTATTCAAGTCACTATCACGCTAATAGAACTACATGACATTAAAGTAACTTTTTGTGGGTAGAGATGGCTCAGCAGATAAAGGGGCTTGCTGCCAATCCAGATGACCTTGAGACACACATGGTAAAAGAAGAGAACCAGCTCCTATGAGGTGTCCTATGACTGAGTGTGTGTGTGTGTGTGTGTGTGTGTGTGTGTGTGTGTGTGTGACACACACAAATACATAAATAAACAAATAAGTAAAGTGTCATAAAGTAATTTTGATATCTGAAAATGTGACTCCTCCAAATTTAATCTATTTCAAGACTGGTTGTTCAGGGTCTCTGAGATTTCATATGAATTTTGGACAGATTTTCTTTTCTTTTTTTTTTTGCAAAAATGAAAAAAAGATCATTGAAATTTTAATTCAGACTGCATAGAATTTGTGGGTTGGTTTGTCTAGTGTCTTTAAAACAACTGTCCTCCAATTCATGAGTGCAGAACACTGTTCTGTTTATTTCTGTTTTCTTCTACTTTCATCAATGTTCTGTTGGTTTCAATGGACCTGTCTTTAGCCTTTTTTAACTTTACTCCTAGGTTTCTTGATCCTACCATTTCAAAATTCATGTATTTTTTTTCTTTTCTTGCTTTAGGATTACTCATCACTAGTATTTGAATTTTCAACTAATATTTGTATATTGACTTTGATTTTATATCTTACAACTTTGTAAAATCTCACTATTTTAGCAGATCCTTGTGCTTTTCCTAGTTTTTCTTTTTGCGTATGAGATCATACAGTCTGCTTTACAAAGATAATCTTACTTCTTTGTCTCTAATTTAGATGGTATGTTTCTCTTTCTTGACTAAATTTATTTCCCAGTAATATGTTAAATAAATAGAAGTAGTAAAATCTAGCTTATTGCAGACCTCAGAAGAAAATGATCACATTCTTCTCAACCAAATGTGATTCTAGCTCTAAGCATTTAATACACAGTATTTTGTACTGAGATACTTGACTGTTGCTGCTTGTTTGTGTTGTTAGCTGTTTTTGCTCTTTTGGGGAGCTGCCACCCAACTCCCAAATAAATTTCACATGGAGGCTTATTCTTCCTTATAAATACCTGGCCTTAACCTGGCTTGTTTCTTGCCAGCTTTCCTTAACTTTAAAAACTGTCTATCTTTTGCCTCTGGGCTTTTCCCATTCTCTTACTCTTACGCTTACTCCATGGCTTGCTATGTAGCTAAGTGGCTGGCCCCTGGAGTCCTCCTCCTTCTCTGGCTACTTCTTCCTCCCAGATTTCTCCTTCTATATATTCTCTCTGCCTGCCAGCCCCACCTATCCTTTCTCCTACCTTGCTATTGACCGTTCAGTTTTTTATTAGACCATCGGGTGTTTTAGACAGGCACAGTAACACAGCATCACTGAGTTAAAAAAATGCAACATAAACAAAAGTAACACATCTTAATTTTCTACAACAAGTTTGTTGATATTTTTTTTTGTTTGTTTTGTTTTTTGGTTTTTCGAGACAGGGTTTCTCTGTGTAGCTTTGCGCCTTTTCCTGGAACTCACTTGGTAGCCCAGGCTGGCCTCGAACTCACAGAGATCCACCTGGCTCTGCCTCCCGAGTGCTGGGATTAAAGGCGTGCGCCACCACCGCCCGGCTGATATTTTTATTTAACAAAGATATTGAGACAGGTGTAGTAGCTCCTACCTCTAATCCTAGCCCATGGGATGCTAAGACATGAAGGCCATCCTAACTTTCAGAGCATCCTAGACTACATATTGAATCCAGGCCAGCTTCAGGCTACAGAGTCTCAAAAAAGTTGTGTTTATTAATGGCTTATTCTGTATCAGTGATAATAAATAATGATTTCAGTTATTTCTTCACCCTATTCCTACAATGTTTTCACATGTTGAAGAGTGCTTGCATTTCAAATGTAAATTCTACCTGTTCATGTAACGTGGTTAGCTGTAACTCATACCTCCATTATAAGGTCAGTAATTCCTCAACCCATGACTTTTTCAGGACCTCAGAAGCTCAGTGCTTAAAATCTGCAGTTTTCTGGAGAAAAAACTGAGTGATGAAGATGTGGATGCTGTTGTGAGACAATCTATGTTTCAGAACATGAAATCTGACCCACGAGCAAATTATGAAGATATTATAAAAAATGAAATTGGGACAAGAAATGAAGAGGGAAAATTCCTCCGCAAAGGTGATATTTAGTGGTCCACAGCAGCAAAAAAATGTTGAGTGTTCCTTGGAGTACCTAGGAGAAATAATCTGCATTTTCAATGTATTTCTCCAGGTGATAATGCCATTTGGAAGCATCGAACATTTTAGCTGACAGAGAACCTGAAGGGTTTCTAGCAGTGTTTTAGTAAAAAAAACTCTGACAATTTCAATTACTAAATAGATATGACTTTCCTTCCTTTTAGGCCATACAACCTAACCTTTTAAAGTATGTCAGCAGTCTTGTCCTAGGTAATAGATGTGTTAGAAGTGAAGATTCTAATTAATCTTGTGCTGTTGTTTTGTTGGTTTGTTTTGTTTTATTTTGGTTTTTGTTTTGTTTTGTTCAGTTTGTGTGTGTGTGTGTGTGTGTGTGTGTGAGAGAGAGAGAGAGAGAGAGAGAGAGAGAGAGAGAGAGAGAGAGAGAGAAACAGAGAGAGACAGAGAGAGAGAGAGAGAGAGAGAGAGAGAGAGAGAGAGAGAGTTAGAAAAAGAGAGAGAGCGGGAGAGGGAGAGTGTGTGTGTTTCACAGTGTAGCCCAAGGCTGGCTTAAATTCATAATCCTCCTGTCTCTGCACCATACCCCTCCCTGAATGCTAGGATTACAGGCATGAAGGACCATGAACTCCTAGACAAGAAGAGTTTTACTCACTATTTTTTCTAGGATATTGTACAAGCAAACTTACCATATGTTTATATTGAAGACAATGTTTAAAATGCTGTTTCCTCCTTGTGAGATTATTTTCATCATAAAAATTAGAGTGATATCTTAATAACTTTATCTATTATGAATTCAATTAAGTAAATGGGCAATAAACTTATTATGATCTCATTATATGCCAGGAGATGTGGTTAAGAATGAGCATTTCCCTCTTGATACTCTTTTAACATATCATTACTACGAGCATTAGCTTGTATTTTAATATCTGGATTTTTATATTTTTCAAAAACTCTTTTATTTTTTCTCTTCTGCCACTTAACATCAACTCTCACATCTCATTTCTCAGAAGACTAAATGTCTTGCCCATGATAGCTTGCCCTCTGTTCCAAATGCAAACAATCATACCGTTGTCTCTGACTCTGAAGACCCCAAATGTCTACTTTCATTTTAACTAACGTAGTGATCATTACAAATTCTTATCCAGTAAAATTATAACATTAGCTCTTTCAACGTCACCTTGACTTGACTTGCTGAAAACCTCTGGGTTTCATTTTTTTCTCTTTAAAATGAAAAAAAATACATACCTCATAAGGTTATGTTTGAAATATATTGTGTTTGAAGTATAAGTGTTTTCTTAGTATAATGATCGGTACACAGTAAGATGTATTTTTAAAATTCTAATATTTTTTTTTAACTTTTAAAGGGTTTTCTTTTTTTCTAAAAATTGGTTATAACTCAGTGGTAATAGCTAGTGATGCCTATTTACTATGCTGCTACTCTGAAGCTTCTTCTACTGGACTTTTTTCTGTGATGAGAGGAGAGGTAGCCAACCAAACCCTACTGAGAACTCAGCAATGTGCAATGTGAGCTGTAGAGAATAGTAGATGCTGCCGTATGCTTCTTAAGCACCTTACTTATGTGGGTGCTGCACTGTGCTTCTCCCATTAGGTACCATTGGAGACTGGAAACATCATTTGACTGTGGAGCAGAATGAAAGATTTGACAGAATATTCTACGAGAACATGAAAAACATTCCCTTAAAGTTCATCTGGGATATAAATGAGGAGTAGAATTTTAATTACCATGTGAATTAATCATATAAAAATGTACTAGCTGGAGGCCATATTTTAACATTAAAATTAATTAATTTTGCTCACTTAACTATTAATCATAAAGCACAATTCATGAGCAAAATGATTAACTTGTGTTGAGGTTGCTTGCCATAACATTAATTTCAAAGGTGACCATGAGCATTGGTATCCTTTACCAAATGGTTTAACAGTAAGCACCAGACAAGGCTTGCAGATACCTTCAGAGAATATTCTATAGTTCACATTTTCTTTCCCTTCAATTAATTTAGGATCAAGTAAATATTAAAAATCCATTTATTCTTATAATTGGACTTTAGTTCTTTGCCTTTAAAATCAATAAGACTGTTAAAATAAAAAAGAAGAGATGTCATATACAAACACATATGCCTTTTTAAAATAATGTAACAGGTCTCAGTTTGCAATAAAGACATGAAAATCAAAGATTAAACACATACTGGTCCAAGTGCATATGCCCAGGATCTGGGCCCACACCTGGGGCCATGTGGGGATTCGAGGGCCATGCTGCTGTTGGGTCCCTGCCGATCTAAGTGACCTGTACTGCCAATCGGGACCATGGTACATTTGAGCCTGGGCTGCTGCCCAGGACTATGTCTGGGTCCATGTTCCAATCACAGATGGAGTCTGTATTGATGTCTATGGCCCTTAGTGCCACTAAGGGCCATACAGATGTCAGGGGCCTGGGCCACCACCTAGGGCCACGTTAGTATCAATGGGTAGCGTCTCTGCTGGGGCCATGTAAATCTGAGTAGCCTGTGCTGCCTCCCAGGGCCATGGTATGCTCTGGGCCTAGACTGCTATGAGCCATGTCTGGGTCCATGATTCTGCCACAGCTGCCATCTGTGTTGATGTCTATGGCTCCTTTTACCACCAAAAGCAGTGAGGATAGGCCTGCACGGAGTTGGCCCTGTCCCTCAGTGGACTCCACCACTCTGGAGAACAGGCCCTGCACCTCCTCAGGGCAACACAGCAGAACTGTCCCTGCTGGTGGGGGTAGGGGTGTGGGTGAGCAGACCCTGAAGACAGGAGAGTAGGAGGGCTAGCCCTAATGTCTGTCCACGGTGGTGTAGGCTAGGGAAAGGTACCCCTTTTGCCCCTTGCTCCTCACCCCTTACCATCTACTGCAGGCAGGAAAAGCTGATCCTGGGGTCACGAGAGTGGGTGAGCTGATCCTGCCCCTCACCAGCTTCAGGACCGGGAAAAGCAGGCCCTGCACCTCACCTGGGCAGCACAATGGAGCTGACCCTGTTGGCGGGGGGGGGGGGGGGGGGGGGGGGGGCTCAGGTGAGTGGGCCTGGGAGGCATGAGAGCAGGAGGGCTGACCCTTCTCCCCACCCCTGTCTTTCACGCGGTAGCATGCGTGAGGAAAACAAAATGTTCCTCTTCCCCTTGCCCCCTGCCACCTGTGGCAGGGGAGAAAGATGGCCACTGGGCCTTGAGAGTGGGAGAACTGGCCCTGCCCCTCATCAGCTGCAGCACACAGCCAAGTGAGAACAGCTCTTCACCTCAGCAGCACACTAGAACTGACCCTGTTGGCAGGGGGCAGGGGAGCAGGGCCAGAGAGCAGGAAAGCTGCTCCCCTCCCTCATATGCCATGGGATGGTAAGGGTAAGGGAAATATACCCTCACCTCCCACCTCTTACCACCTGCGGCAGGTGGGAGAGCCAACCTCAGGGTCATGAGAAAGGAAGAGCTGGCCGTGCCCCTTACCAAGTGCGGCAATCCAGAGAGCGAGCCCTGCACCTCACCGGGGCAAAACAGTAGAGCTGGCCCTGGTAGTGTGAGTGCAGGCAAGCTGGACCCCAAGGGTATATAAGAACAAGAGAACCGGCCTCTGCTTGTTATCTGCTGCATTGGGTGAGACAGTGCTGGAGAGCGCACCCTGGTGGTGACAACGAGGGAAAGCTGGCAGGCTGACCAACCCAGCTACCACCCAGGCCCAGAAACGGGGCTGTGAGTTGGCCCACCCTCAACAACCACCCGCTCTGTGGACTGCTGTAGCATGTGAAGGCACCAGACCTGCAGATCCAAAGCTGCAGGATCTCCATGATCACAAAGCAACAACAGAATATCCAAGAGGAGTCCCCGTGAGGGCCCAGTATCCAGGGTGTAGCAGAAGCCAGAGGCCTCGAACCTGACCAGTGACTCATATGAAAAGAACACTTACAAGTAAAGATGTATGGACTAGAGGGTATATACTGTGTGACTCACTGGGCCACAGGACAGCTTCCATGCTGAGATTTTTTATTATTATTTGATTTTTATTTGTTTATTGTGTGTGTGTGTGTGTGTGTGTGTGTGTGTGTGTGTGCTTGTGTGTATGTTTCTATTTTTGTTTTCTTTGGTTTGGTTTGGTTTTACTTTTAAATTTTCTTTGGGGGGAGGTTGCAAGGGCAGAGGGCAGATTGAGGGGACAAGGAGATGGGTGGGATCAGGATGCATGATGTGAAGTCCACAAAGAATGAATAAAAGGTTAAATAAAAAAAAAAACATATGCTCGTTCAATTACAAGGTATCAGGATGAAAACAGTTCTGTCTGTAACATATTCTCATAAGCCCAGGCCATAAACTCACTTTAATAACTAGAAAAAAACCTAGGTGACCTTAAAATTCTCGATGGAGAAAGAATTTAATTAATAAAGCAACTATAGGCATTTAAAAAGCTGACTGTATTTGGATCATGAATACATACGGTAGCCGCATTCATAGCAGTCATCCAATGGAGCCAACCCACGTTGGCCAGCTTTGCACCACTGTAACAAAATACTCAAGATGGTTAACTTATGGGGATCAAAGTCTATTTTGGTTTGTGGTTTCAACTGTCTGAGTGTACCGGTGCTTTACAGCCCCTGGCAAGAAAGGGCTGTATGCAACCCTGGATGCAAAGAGAAGAAAAAGGAGGCTAGGGGTTAAATATCCCACTCAAGGGCATGCCTCCCATTTGGCCCTCCCAGTAAATTCTAATAGTGTCATGGGCTGGGAGCCAAGCCTTTGCAATATGTCCATTTGTGGGAAACTTGTTAAGATAACATGCATCACATTGCCCATGTATGCTGAAGCAAATACATGAATTAATGGCACCACAAACGATAGTGGTGTGTGTCATATTCTTTTGTTGTTTTGGGGTTCTTGCTGTTGTTTTTTTTTTTTTTTTGAGACAGGGTCTCTCTACATGGTCCTGGTGGTCCTAAACTCACTATTGTAGACCAGGCTGGCCTGAAACTAGCCTGCCTCTGCCTCCTGAGTGCTGGGATTAAAGGTGTACACCACTATACCTGGCTTGTATCATACTATTTTCCTATGTGGCAAATACATGAGAGAATCCATTTAAGAAGAGAAAGATTCATTTTGGATCCTGGGTTCAGAGGTTCCAGCTCATGGTTAGCTGACTTCATTGTCTCAGGACCCATGGTGGTACAGGACATCATGAGGGCTTGAAACTTCTGCAGGAGTGTCTCCGTGAAATACTTTGTTGCAAATAAGAATAAGTTGGTTCCAATCAGCTTATACAACATGTAGTATTTCATTACAGTGATTTATGGAATACCAGGGAAGGGATTTTCTTGGACCTATGGACATCCATAAACAATAAATATGAAGCAGAAAGGGATTTACGGTTTATAAATCTTTCCTTTCTGATTTCTTATTTTGAGATTTTGTGTTCTATCATCCATGTTCACTGTCCATAAAAATTATTTTAATGACAGCCATTAAAATGTGGTAGGAAAGACCATCCTAACGGGTGTGGGAACCACTGCCGTGGATTTTGCGATGAGACTGAACTCAACTCAGAATGTACTATGGCCAAGTTTAGGACAGGGGCTAGCGAAAACCCAATTAGTGAACAACTCAGAAACACAGGAGTGAGGGAAATACCGTGTGAACTGACTTAACAGGCTCCTTGCTGAAGCCAGATCAGGGTGACCTGTCATCTCCTGCAGGAAGAGGATAGATAAGAAGCCTAGTCAGATGTTGATGGCCATCAGATTGAAAGGATGAGGCATTCTTGTTAAATAGACTTGGAAAGAATCTTTACTATAAACTGTATTTGGGGATTTGCAGAGAAAGACCTAGCTAGAATAAGGTTCGTAAACCTAACTAAAGTTAAGCTCAACACAGCTGGGCGTGCTAACACAGGTCTTTAATCCTAGAACTTGGGAGGCAGAACCAGGTGGATCTCTATAAGTTTGAGGCCAATCTAGTCTACAAATGGAGTTCCAGGAAAGCCAGGACTGTTACACAGAAAAACCTTGTCTTGGGGAAAAAAAAAAAAAAAAGATGAGATAAGCAAAGTGTCTTTCAGTCCTCTCCCTTGTACAAGTAATGAAGAAACAATCTCTTCCATTTGAATACGTTCAATTATTCAACCACTTGGCTTTTGTTCACTAAAAATCAACTAGATTGGCATTTGGCACTCGATGGTAGACAATATTTGCTCAGTAGGGTAGAATTTAGTTATTTTGTGAGGGAAAAATCTATGAAAATGAAAAAAGCAAAATCAATAGTTGGAAACTCACTTTTTGAGTACAGAGAACTGGCTGATGACTAATCTAAATATTGAAGTGTCTTTTGAGTAATTCAATGAACCAAAACAGTAAACTCAATTTTGAATACACCATGGGAAAGTGAGAATATGCAGCCAGATTACAGGGTTGAAGGGGTCACTAGATGGAAAATTATTGAGGAAAAACATGTAGGGTGAGGGAGATTCTGGCTTAATAAACCTAACAGGATTCTTCCCTAAAGCAGGACAGAGTGATTGGACATCTCATGGAACACTGAGGAAGGTAAGTAAGTAATGGGGCTTACAGCTGAGTATGATATGAGATAGCTTGCCAAGCTAGCCAGACAATAGATGCCATACTATCTTGTGTTTATTTCATAAACTCTAGGGAGGTAACGGTTTTCATTCAATCACTCTAAAGATGTTTCAATATTTAGATTAATCATCAGTCAGTTCTCTGTACTCAAAAAGTGAGTTTCCAACGATTGACTTTTGCTTTTTTTTTAATTTTAATAGATTTTCCCTCACAAAATAAATACAAGATAAAGGGTCATACAAAACCAAAGATTGCCTTCTTTATACATTACCCTGTCTCTGACTATTAATTGAGAGACCTTATACATGTAAGTCATTCCTAGCTTTATAGTATGCATGAAACTGCAGTCAAATAGTCAATATTCTATTTCTGAGCTATGTGAAAGGGAAGACTATGTACATTATGAAATATATGTAAATCAATGTAAGATCTTAATTTCTATTTTAAATGCAAATGTTACAAATGCAAACAATTACAAAGAAAATTCTCCCCAGTAGTTTTTGTTATTGTTTTTTGTTTATTTGGTTTTTGGTTTTTGGTTTTTCAAG